TTTAAACAACTCTTTATGACTTTATCGTGGTAATTAGCACTCAAGGTCCGCCGCCGTTGGGAGGCAATTGATGTATAATTAGGAGGAAATTCGACATACCGAAAATTTTAACCCTAATTAAAAAGAGGTATATGGGGGAGGGGGGGGGGCTAGGCATTATCCGACGATCTTATGATGATTATGATGGCCCACTAATCATAAACAATACTATACAAATAACAATTCTAGTAATACCAAGGCTCAACAATTGAAACAGCAAAGTTCACTTTTAATGGACAACCTAAAATTCCAGCAGCTTTTGAATTGCCAGTGGACCTATCCGAGAACTAGATATATTTAAGATTTTGAAGAACTGGTTGACAAGATAAGTTTTTAGACTTATTCATCTTGATATTGTCTCGTTGTAGGGATGCTGTTGTTAAACATACATACAATTTAGACATCTTTTAGAAGTGAGTTAGTTTAATATGAAAAATTATACTGAAAATTCAATTTCTGAATTTTTTTACCCACTACACGCTACCTCAAATTAATGAGGGAAAAATTGTTGCTGTTGTCACACCCCCGTCGGGAATCGAAACCGGAACCTTTGGTATAATATTTCGTATTAAACTAAATCACTTCTCAAAAGATGTCTAAATTGTATGTCTATTTTATTTAGTTAAAATTCGAATATATCAAACGGAGTTATTACTTTCAAATGTAGCGAGACATATTCTGACCAAATCTCTCACGATTTGTGTTTTAAAACTGGGTATTTGCAATAATTTTTCGAGAACAAAAACAAGAACTAGCTAAGTGGCATATAAGTACACTCAGGAAACTAGAGTCTGAGAGAACGTCGAAAACTAAAAACAGAAGCCTGTAGGATGAACGATTCACATCAATTATTAGATAGGAAGAATATAAGTATATAGATATAGAAAAGCGTCCACCAGGTAGGCCGAAAAAACGGTGGAAAGTTAAGTTAAAAAAGATATGGTACCTTGAGTACTTTTGGTCACGCAGTACTTGCAATAATAAAAATTTCGGAAATTTGTTAATAAATGTTTGGAGAAATAAGGACGAGGAAGACACTACAAAATCTAAATTAATATTTAGGAGAAAGTGCTTCAAAATACAAAATGAATACGAAACCTCCAACTCATTCAACCGAAAAATAAAAAATGAATTTCTTGGGCGCATAAAACATGAGATTTATATGTAACTTAAGTATTTACGTGCAAGTTTTTATTTACATATTACAACATGAAATAGGATAAAAGAAAATAGACAGTGACAAAATGCATTATATATCCACAAATTCTGAATTTTGAACAGATGGGATAGCTTCACTAATATGAGATAGAAGTCGTAATAGCAGATGTGGATTATGCACTTATATTTCTGTAAAAAATGAGTAACCGCGACATATAGGACAATGTATGTACTTGGGTACATCTCAATTGCATGATCATTAAAAGCATCATTTTAAAAACAGTCACTTTCGTTTTTGTTAACACAGGAAATGCTTTAATTATGCGCATATTCACATGTATATTATATGTATTTCACCGGAAGAATTGATAACAATACCTACTCTATGATATACATAATTCATACAATTGATGAATGTCCTTCACCCATTTCACATGGCTTTAATACAATACGTGATGTTGATTTTATTTTATAGCATTATTTTGAAAATATAGGTACTCAATAATTGATTTGAAAACAGCTTATTCGAGGATAACGAATAAAATTGTATTAATTATTCCTTTATTAATTAGTTTTAGGTTTATCGTGAACGTGAATATTTTAAATTAATTTCCCGGGAAAACGACAGACATTAATTTCAATTTTTTTGTTTATTCAAAGAACGACAAAC